GGCCGCGGTCAGGTCTCCTCCGGTAGGACCTCCCGCCGCCTCCTGCCGCCACCAGTAGCGGCTCTGGCTCCCCCGCGCGCAGCTATGGGGCCAGTGGCCGATCAGGGACCACGCCCGGGTCCTAAGCCCCGAGAGCCCAGAGGGAGAGAGGAGCCTGGGACACCCAGCTGGGGGTCGAGGCGACAGCACCCGGTGTACCTACCCGGAAGATGTAGGTGGCGCCCCCGCCACCCCCGCCCCCGCCGGCCCAGCGTCTCCAGCCTGGGATCCTTTCGGTCCCATCGGTCGTCGCATGCTCCCCAAACTCTCCCAGACAGACGAGCTGGCTCTCGGGGCTCCCCTGGGTGGCACGAAAGTGAAATGCTGCGTGACCAGGGACTCTCTCCTCCCCCAGCTGTCGCCCCGGGCGCCTCTGTCCCGCTCGCCTCGCTTACTCCCGGACAGGCGTCCTGGCCCTGCTGCCCCACAAGGATGTACACCGGCTCCCCGCGACTGAGGAAGAAGACTGCCGAGAGGAAGATGCCGTGCGCCCGTGACAGGTGGTTTCGGGCGCCCTTGCCGCCCGCCGCTCCGTAGGCAGAGATCCTGCGGGAAGAGAGAGCACCGGTCCGCGGTTCCGTCCTGGGCGGCTCGGTCCTGCGCGCGGGGACCCGCGGCCGGGAAGCTTCCTAAGGGACTTAAGGACTGTGAAGGGATGGGCAAGACCGAGTTTACAGTTAGGTTCCCCGTGTATTTCAGGAGTGTTAATGGAGATGGCGGGAAGAGTCAAGCCCTTATCTGGACCCACCGTTGATTAGGTGGCCGTCCTGTCCGATGGTTAACACGGAAGGACAGACAATCGAAGCGACTGACACTAGGCATTGCTGCGGAATGTTTTAAGACGAACATGTACGTGGTGGGGCTCCGGGCCCTGCTTCCCTGGACTGTAGGACCTCAGCCTCGCGGGTGACTGCCACCCTCTCCCTGCCCAGCACTTACAGATACTGGCCGGTGTCTGGCGCCCGCCACAGCTGCACGCCTTTGAGCCGCCCGGCAGCCCCCACTGTCACCATCACGCTGCTTCCTGTGTATGCCCCGTCGCACTGTGTTTGTGTGGGTCCCCTCTGGCCGCTGGCACCACAGGTGTTAAACAACCAAGGCCCCCGCGTGCCTAGGTGCAAGGGAGAAGGAAAAAGTCGAGTTCCAGTCTAGGCCTAGGGATCTCGAGATGGTGAGCCAAGAAAAGGGAGGAGCCTGAAGCTCACCTAGAGGATTTGGGAGGGAAGCTGGCTCCAATCTATTGGGCTTGGGGGTGACTTTCTGCTCCTGGGAATTGGGGACCAGTACCGGCAAAGGCGAGGGTGTTAGAAAAGGTGCCTGGAACTCCGAGTTGGAGCAAAGAATAGTTCCTGAAAGGTGACAGGGAGGAAGAGGGGTTAGAAGAAGATGCAGAATGTGAAGAGGAAGACATAAGAGATAGACAGCCACTCGGCAGTACCAGCTAACAGCCACACCCCAAAGCCGCACAGCTGGTGCTTATAGATACCTGACACCCAAGTGGGTCTCCCAAGCCTTGCAAGGTGTCTACATATATTACGTCCCCTATTCCAGTGTTCTCACGGAATGACTTGGGGGCTGCACCGAGCCCGGTTATTTAGCACCCCACCCCCACCCTCTTTTCTCTATCTTCCTTCCAAGTAGTGCCGAGGCCCTACCTGATTCTGAGATTTGGACGTGTTCTCCACCTTTCTTGCTGCACTCTAGAAGCACAAGGCCACCTTAGAAGGAACCATTGAGATCTACCTGGTCTGTTGCTAACGCAGCCTCAAGTCTAGGTGTCTCTGGTTGGCTGGTACCCTGACCACCAAACAGCACTTACCAGCAGCTCCCAGCCACAGCAGCAGCCAGTAGGAGCAGCCCATCACCCGGTCCCTTGGTTCCAGCTAAGGATGATGGTTGAGAACTCGCTACTCTGAACTCTGGCTGCGGTTTATAGGCGTGTCCAGCAGTCTCAGAGCCATCACCACTACCCTGCCGCTTCGAGCTGGCCTGGATACACTCACGTCAGACCCGGGAAATAGGAGGAAAAGGCGGGGCGTGAGGGTAGCGAGGTCCCCAGGCTTCCGGGAGAAGCCTTGCTGAGCTGAAGGGCTCTCAGTCTCCACCCATGGTGCCCGAACTAGTATGAGTTCCTTGAAGGAAAAAAAGTTGGCTTAACATTATTCTTTTGAGATAGCAGCCAGGACGGTAGCCCTCATCCTAGTACTTGGCAGTGGCTTCTGTGGGTCTCAGGATAGCATTAGCTCAGTGGTAGAGCGCTTGCCTAGCAATTGCAAGGCCCTGGGTTCAGTCCTCAGCTCCCGGAGAAAACGGGGGGGGGGGTGGCGGGGGAAGCTTTATTGGTGTCAGTGTTAGTCCATGACCCCATGACCACATGGGGTATATGTAGAGTCAGGTTGGCCTCTGCCTCCTGAGTGCTGGAATTAATGCCACCAGGCCTCAGGAAGGCAGTATTGCTTGCCATTGCTGTGTCTCTTTCTGACTATGAGGCAGAACATCCTAATACAGAATCATGACTTTCTGAGTTTGTTGCACACATTCTCCTGGGCACAACTTCTTACTGCCATGACTGGACAAGGTGTTAGAAAATTTGGGCATCATAGCTTGCATTTATAATCCAGCACTTGCCTAGAGGAAATGGGACCCCAAGTTCAGTGTTATCCCCGGCTTTCAAGCTGGATGCCAGTCTGGGCTTACATGAGATTTCCTCTCCAAAAGCTAATAGAAATTTAAAAAGGATGTCAGAATATTCAAATGCTAGAGTACTCCCAGGCAACGCAGAGTAGCTCTGCTACAGTCCACCACCTGCAAATCCACATGGAAGGAAACTTCTACAAGCCACATACTGAGAGCCACTAGAGTAAGCCTTCAGATAGTTGTGTATATTGTGTCCTTTATCTTTTGTTCAAAATGCTACTGTTAAGCCTGGCATGGTCCCCATGAGGGCATGTAATTCCAGCACTTAGAAGGCTGAAGCAGGAGGATTGCTGAGTTCCCTCAAAACAAAAACAAACAAAACCTTCTTACCAGAATAAATCATTTGCAAAGGATCTCCTAACTTTCTGTTGAAGAAAAGAAATTAGCACTCCTTTCTTCAACTAAGAGGACCTGTATCAAGATGAGGGAAAATCGTTCCAGTAAACATATACTGGACTTAAAAAACAAACTTAATGGTTGAAGCCTAAAGGCTAAAGATGTTTTTACATCTGAAAACTGAAGCCTGACCTAGCAGGTAACTGGCTAATTAGTAAATTCTGAGTGTTCAATACTAATTGTAGTTATGGTAGATTTTATAAAAATAGAGAACTCAGTTTTATAGACATTACCATCAGGAACTCTCATGGATAAAATTTTGCTTTAATGAGCTAAAGAAAGGGAACTGTTGGTGTGTGGGGCTGAGGAGCCCTGCAACTGGGTGAGCCAACCAGGAGCCGGAGAGGAGTGGAGCTATGCACAAACCCTGAAAATCTATTCCTGAGATCAGCAGGAGTACGACTCCTCTCTCCCTGCTCTGGGCCTGCATGCCCCAGCACCTCACCCTCCACACCCACCGCCTCTGCCACCACTGAGGCAGTTAGGTAGCCTGGTGGCCATGTTGCAGGTTAAAAATCCTCTCTTCTTATAAGATCATGTCCAGCAAGCACCCGGAATTGCTCTTCATGCAAATAAGGCATTTCCAGCACCTTAAGCCATGGCCAAGGAAGGACACTTACCCTGAAAGGCTCTATCCACCCCCCCCCCAAAGGTTTGAACAGCTTTTGTTCCCCAAAATTAAAAGCTGCTCAATGAAGCCTGTCTCCTGAGAGTCTGTTCTCATAGCGCTCACAGCCGCCTAAGATTTCCATCACCCACTTCCTGCCTCAGCTTCCCTCATAGGCCACTAGTCTGATGATGGGTGATCATGTCGTTTATCTGGGCTCACTGATAGGGCCATACTGGACCTCTCCTGATGATTTGGAAGAACAGTTATTCCACACAGCAAATGATAGGATAAGAAAGCCTGTGTTGGGCTGGAGAGATGGCTCAACAGTTAAAGAGAACTGGCTGTTCTTCAGGAGGACCAGGGTTCAATTCTCAGTACCAAAATGATTGGTCACAATTGGTCACAACCATCTGTATCTCTAGTTCCAGGGTGATGTTCCCATCTGGCCTCAAGGGGTACCAGGCACACACACACTTGGTACACAGACACATGTAGGTAAAAATCCATACACACAGTGTGTGTGTTTTCAAAACAGGGTTTCTCTGTGTATCCCTGGCTGTCTTGAACTTGGAATTTTGAAGATCAGGGTAATTAAAGGCATGTTCCACAATGCCTTACAAAGTAAAAAAAATGTATTTTTAAGCAAGCCTACGTCAGAATTCAGAGAGAAGGATAACCTAGAAAGTACCAGGGCTGCCGGGCAGTGGTGGCGCACGCCTTTAATCCCAGCACTTGGGAGGCAGAGGCAGGTGGATTTCTGAGTTCGAGGCCAGCCTGGTCTACAGAGTGAGTTCCAGGACAGCCAGGGCTATACAGAAAAACCCTGTCTCAAAAAAGAAAAAAAAAAGAAAGTACCAGGGCTCAGTGGTTAAGTGTGCCCACAGCAGGGAGCTCACAACCACACAGCTCCAGGGGGATCCAACACTGTCTTCTGGTCTCTGTACACATGCCATACTCACATACAGATGAACACACATTATAAAAAAAGGCCCACTGAGAATGGCGTAGGAGAACTACACCAGGATGATGTTTGGGTTCTCTGACCCCAGTACTTCCAGGGCCTGCAGAGTCCTCCAGGACCACATCCACTCTAGGAGCATTGTCATTGTCATTGTCACAGACTCCCAGGAAACATACCTCTGCCATCCCCAGATGGAGACTGTGTTTACCTCCCATTGTGACTTTTTCTCCCACCTCTCTCCTTGAGATAATCCACCCTTGCTACCAACTCTGAACGTGACAATACAGTCCAGACCAGTCAGACTAGAAAAGGATTTATTTCAGGGAGTAGCACAGTAATCACACACCCTGGCCTGGTGAAGACTGGAGGCGGGTGAGGAGAGCTGTCCTGGACCACTGCAGGGAAGCCACCCTCCCTCCTAGCACAGTCCTCAGTGCCCCCAGATCCTGAGCTCCAGTATCATGATGTAATATGAGTTCCTTCTGTTCTAAAAAAAGGCTCAAACGATGTGCTCACAGGAAGGCAAGCCTTGTTTTCCTTTTCTCATGATGCTCACTGGTAAGCCCAGGAGAATACTCATCTCTAGCTGGGGGGCAAGTGCTCTAGGTCTTGAACCCTCCATTCTGAAGCACCTCTGCGGGCAATGTCTGAAGGTACTGCTGCCTCAGGCGAGGTAACTGGGAATACAACTCAAAGCCCTCTGGGAGGCTGGAGTTGGGCAGCTTATAGTGGAGGAGATGCTGCCGCAGCCCCTGTGGAAAAGACAAAACCCGTGAGGTGGGTAGTGAGAGTTTGTTGAGGTTTGGTTCCTTCACCCACCCTGTATCTTTTCCACAGTACCACCTCATCCGCCAGCAGCCAGGCTCTCTGCAGCATGCTCCTCCGGGCAGCCTTCACCTCATCCTGGGAGCAGAAGAGGGAGACATGGCACTAAGCTGAGGACTGGTACCCACCACGGGCCTCACTTACCCTTCAGCCCATCCCAACCAGCCCGTCAGCTCCCTCCTTCCCTCTGAAGATAGAGAGGCAGCTTACTGAGCTCTTTGGGTCTTGGCAGAAGATGAAACTATTGACGTGAGCCACAGCTACAGTGTAGAGGATGGGGCACCAGCGTGCACGGAGTGTACCAGTCACCAGGGCCCGGAAGTAGAGTTGAAGGAGAGGGAGGCTGTCTTCAGCAGGCTCTGTGTAGCACTCCAGAGGCACAGGTAGCTGTGACAGAAGGAAACGACACGCTGAGGGCCATGCTGGGAATGTCCATCAACAGCAGCAGGGAGTGACTCTGGTCACATGTAATCAAATCATACGGCAGAAATCAGGTCCTACAAAGACGTCCCTTCTTTAGTACACGGATGAAAGCTAAAGAGCAAAGCCTGGTGCGGGGCATCGCTTGCAGCCTGTGCACCTTCCTAGGACGTGTGGAAGCCCTGGGCTCCATTTCCAGCACACACAGAATAATGATTTCTTAAGAGTATTTAAGGAGGGCAAATGCTCATGATGTAAGGTAAAATGAAAAATTCATTATGCAGTAATTCCAATTTTATAAAAATATACAAGTATACAAAAGAGACTAGAAAAAGTATAAATAAAACCAATTATTACTGAGCTGGGAGTCGAAGCATGTGCCTATCACTCCTGAACACATACAGAAGGCAGTGGCAGGGAATTGCAAGGCTGAGTCCAGCCTGGGCCACATAGGAAGACACTGTCTCAAATCTTTGTTTTTCTTAAGACAGGGTCTCTTTATATAGCTCTGGCTCTGAACTTCTATATAAACCAGGCTATCCTCAGACTCACAGAGACGCAACTGCCTCTGTGTCCCAAGTGCTGGGATTAAAGGTATGCACCACTATACCTGGCTCTAAAATGTTTTTAAATAAAAAAATTACTGAGTAACTATAAAATTTTTAATTTTTTTATGTTTTAAGTAAGCATATGTGTGTATGTGTGTGCATGTGTGTGTGTGTTATATGTACACCTGAGTGCAAGTGTACATGTTCATGCAGGCACTGAAACTTGAAGACACTGGGTATCCTGTTCTCTCTGCCTTACTCCTTTGAGGCAGTGTCCTGTCGGATGGGAAGCTGAGAGGCAGCTAGCAAGTTCTCTATCAACCAAGCTACAATCCTTAGCATGCTGAAGACAGTGTCTGGTCTCACCCTAGACTGGACTAGAATTCTGTATAGCCCAGGCTGTCCTTAAACTTCTAATCTGCCTGCCCCAACTCCGGAGAGACTAGGATTATAGGCCTGTATTACCAGGCCTGGTTCTCTTTTCAACAAGTGAGCTGACTCTTTGGCCTGGTCATCCTTTAGGGTTTTTCTTCGTAGCCTTTTTCTACTAAGCACTCTACAGAAATCTTTTAAGAGTCAAACTCTCCCAAACTTCAATACTAAGTCAACCTCTCTTCTCCACAGTATCTTTTCCTTAAGGGAAGTCCACTCTGATCTTTTTTAAAAATTCTCTAGCTGGGCGGTGGTGGCGCATGCCTTTAATCCCAGCACTTGGGAGGCAGAGGCAGGTGGATTTCTGAGTTCGAGGACAGCCTGGTCTACGGAGTGAGTTCCAGGACAGCTCACAGCTCGAGCTATAAAGAGAAACCCTGTCTCGAAAAACAAAAAACAACAACAACAACAAAATCTCTAAATTCTGACTTAACACACTAAGAATGTGAGTAATTAACAACTATAGTTTTGTTTTTTGGTCTTAGCATATCTTCATCTAGACTGTAGGAGTTCGCAAGCAGAACCTAAACCTGGTTAATAACATGAACCCTGCCAGATAGTGGTGATATACACCTTTAACCCCAACACTCAGGAGACAGAGGCAGAATCTCTGTGAGTTTCAGGCCAGCCTGGTCTCCAGAGCAAGTTCCATGACAGCCATAGCTACAAAGAGAAACCCTGTCTTGAAAAACAACAATAATAATAATAATAATGACTCTCTCTGCCAGATGCCATAATAAAAACCCTTCTATTCCCTACATCTTGATGCTTTCAAAGAGGTACCAAGGTAATAACTGCCACAGAAGCTCCACGCTGCTCAAGACTGCCCCTAGTGTCCGGTGCAAGGGTCCTAGGCAGGCCTTGATGGCCTGAGAACATACCTGAGTCAGAGGTAGGCCAAGTGCTCGCAATACTCCCACATGCTCTCCAAAGAGGGCAAGGCGCAAGGTAACACTGAACCGACGCTGCAGAGGAAGGAGGACCAGAGACCCAAACAAGTGGTCTCCAAAAGAGACGGCCTCAAAGTGGTCTAAGAAGCTGGCATAGAGGTCAGGAAAAGAGGTCAGGCCAGGGAGGGGGCAGTCCAGCTTGAGGTTTGGCAAGACTTGGGGCTGACAGAGCCGAGCTAAAAGAGCTGCCACCAGATGCTGTATGGGAGTCTCTCGAAACAGCTCGCTATCCACCAGGTACACACACATGAGACGTGCCAGACGGGCAGCAGGGGGCACAGCCCAGAGGACCTCGGGGCGCCAGCTCTCCAGAACTAGCACCCACTGTAAGACCCGAATGGTGACACCTACAGTGTCAGCAGAAGGCAGCCCAGAGGGAGTATCTGAAGCTCGGTGGTAGAGATGTATCAAGGGCTGGAAGGGCCAGTCAGTGGGCAGCAGTGGCTCCTTAGGTACAGGCAGTAGCAGACTTGAGACTCGAAGCAGCTCTCCACGGTACAAGGCTTGGGAGGTCAGCAGACTGGCTCGGGCTGGTGAGCAATGGGCCAGGTAGCAGCTGCGGATACTGGGGAGATCCTGGCAAGCTTGAACTAGGAGAGCCCCTCGTCTACACTGAGGGTCCCCACTGCACCCTAAGGACAGTCCATCGGAGAAGTCAGCTGCCTCTGGACCCCCCGAAGCATTTTCCCTGTAATGTGATACAAAAGTCGAAACTAAAGGCTAGAATCACAGTATCCAGACAGCTGTCCCAGATCTAGAGTTTCTAAGTTTAGTCCTGTGCCTTTCTGCTCCCCTGACAGCCTTTCACACCACAATGTTGCATAGCATTTAGGAGATGGAACAGAAGGAAAGTTTACTTAAACTACTATGCTTGACCTCTAGCTGTGCTGGGGTTAAGATGTCACCCAGCTCTTTCTTATTTGTTTATTTATTAACTTATAATCTATCCATCCATCCATCCATCCATCCATCCATCCATCCATCATTTATCTATTATCTATCTCTACCTACCTATCTATCGATCTATCTATCTATCGATCTATCTTTTGTTTGTTTGTTTGTTTGTTTTTTCTTCTTCTTCTTTTTTTTTTTTTTTTGGTTTTTCGAGACAGGGTTTCTCTGTGTAGTCCTGGCTGTCCTGGAACTCACTCTGTAGACCAGGCTGGCCTCGAACTCAGAAATCCGCCTGCCTCTGCCTCCCAAGAGCTGGGATTAAAGGCGTGCGCCACCACGCCCGGCTCTATCGATCTACCTAATCTCATTCTCATGTAGCCCAGGCTGACCTCTCCGGTGCTAGGATGAGAAGTGTTTGTCAGTGAACCAGGTTCCCACTTTGAATCAGAGCCTCACACATGCCAAGCAGGTGCTTTACTGTTCAACCACATCCCTAGCTTAGCTTATGTGACATTTTCTAGCCACTGTCATACTATGGAGTCTTATCATTCTCAGGTGGGGTGAAGATGAACAGTCTCATCTTCACTTTACTGGGGGAATAACAAATTAAGTATAACATGTGAAGGAAAGAGACTAAAACCCAGGTTTCCCGGCTCCAAGATGCTGTTCTGTTAACAAAGTTCAGCAGCATCCAAAAGTACCAAACTCCTTACGGCAGGAATTCCAGACGGAACACACAGCTCAGCAGCAGCTCCTGGGCGAGGTATTCGCTTCCAGGCAGCAGCCGACTCAGCAGGACCAAGGCTATAGCATGATGGAGGGCAGTGCTGGCGGTTGGCTCTGGCTGCAATGTTGCCTAGGGAGGAGACAGGACTCTAGTCAGTACAGGGAGGCAGCATGGAGGATACAAAGCAGAGGGAGTGAGGAAATGACAGAAAGACGGAGGATATGAACCAGGGAATACAGACTACAGCAGAGAGGCATGGCCTAGTACAAACAGCACAGGCAGCGGAGGCGCAGGACGGACAACAGGGTGTGGCTGACTCTGCAGACAGGGAACCCACCGCTTTCTGGGCTAGGGAAAGCACCAGGTACTGTAGGTGGTACTCATGGCGCAGGGCCCAGGCAGAGAAGGGTGTGAGCTGTGGGGCAGGCGTAGGAGCCACACACTGGAGAAAGTAGTTCTGGAGTCCTGGGGCAGTCAACACAGCAGCCAGCTGAGGAGACAATCCTATTCAGATCCAGAAATTGACACTGATGGGCTCTGGGGCTCCCCAGACTGCTGCCTCCTCCTAGCCACTTCTCCCCCTCTTTCCTACCCCTGCTATCTTGTCCCCATGCCTACCTCTAAATGGGCACCCGAGGCTTACCTGTCCACAAAGCCCTTTGTGGATCTGGACCAGAATGTTAACGAGAGAGAGGAGGGCAGTGAGGAATGGGAAGGGTGAGGCTGAGCCAGCCACACTTCGAGGGGGACAGCCTCCTGCACAGCCCAGTGACACAAGGCTGGGGAGAGCTTCAGGGGTGGAAGCACAGGACAGCGGATTGCAGAGCGGGGAGCAGTCCCTGCAGGGAGAATATAGATGCTGAGGGGACTCTGGTCTGTGAGTACAAGCCAGATGTGGCTGTGCAGACCAGTGTTCATGCTCCTCAGAGTACCAAGGGTTGCTCTTGTTGGGAATTTGGGTTTCCTCCTTAAAGGGCCTGAGATGGATAGGGGAGGCAGACTTAGGAGCCCCTCAGGAGAACTGCCTCTATCCCACACTACCCCAGCTGCCATCACAGGTCATACCTTAAGGAATCCCACAGACTGGCCAGTGGAGGCTGGCTCAGCAGTGGCAGCAAGAACTCATCCACCAAGCACTCCATGTCCTGAAGCCAATCCTCTGGGCACAAGCTTGACTGGAGAACCAAGGAGTTCATTGAGCTGATGAGCTAAAATACCCATTTTCCTAGCCCTATATATCCAGACCAGTCCCTCCATGTTAAGGATCTCAAAACCATCTGTTTGGAAGCTTCCACAGCCAGATCTTTCTAAAGGAGAGACAGCCCCGAGCTTGCTCTAGTACACAACATCTAGGGTGCATGAGAGGACAGAGGAAAGCTGAGCTGCTGCTCGGGGTCCCTGGCCCCTGGTCCTTGCCTGGGAAATGGAAGCAGGCGGGGACGGTAGAAGTGAAAAGGTGAGGGTAGTAGTAGAGAAGTAACTGTCTGGCATGAGCGAGTGCTGGATTCCACTCAGTACAGTCCTATTTACACCCAAAGCCATACAGAGGGAGAGGTAGAAAAGGAACCAATAGTGAAGGAACAGGAGGAAGCGCACAGGATGAAGGCAGGTAGGTTGCACTCACCTGCTGGCTCCAGGCCTGATAGTAAGCACCCAAGAACAGAAGGCAGGCACTGGGCACTGGGCCCAGGGCATTCCACACATCGGGTCTGGGCAGAAGCTTTAGGGTCTGCTTTAGACATGGCTCAACCAGTGGCTTGAGTCCAGATATGTGTGTCCAGGTGATGGAGGAAGGGATGGCTGACACACAGGACTTCGCAGAGCCACTGCAGGAGTGCCAAAGGGGCAAAGGTAAGCATCTGGCTGCCTTACTCCCTAAACTCCAGCCACTTTCTCCCTGTGGAGGAACATTCCCACATGTCCTGGGGTGGCGGCTGGGCACGCCTGCTGACAGGCTTGGAGCTGGCCTACCTGGTGGGCTCAGGGTGTGTGCTGCTAGCTGCCAAGGTGAGCTGGGTAAGCAGAGTGAGCAGAGAGGCCATCCGCTGCATGGACAGGGGCTGTAAGGGATGAGTGCTGAGCTCTGTAGGCAGTGTCTGCAAGGCCCGCATGAGCACTGGGTACAGCTCCCTGGGGAAGACAATAGGCCTTCACTATGTAGGGAGGCAAGGGGAGGGCACAAAGCACAGTTGTGCCAGGAGCTTCAACCTGGTGAGAGCAGAGTGGGAGGGAGACAGCAGAAATCCCCTCATCATGCTCAGCCTCCCTTCCTCAGGGCCTTGAACAAAGCTGAAGGATGTAACACAGAACTCACAACGCAGAACAGCAGGGCCCTATGAGAAGCCTACCTCTTGCTTCTCCTCACCTGTAAAGGTCACCACCCTGGCCATAGGAGGCAGCCACAGCCCACAGGCGGAAGGCCTCAGTGGTCAGGATCTCTGCTTCCTCAGGTGGCAAGGCCAGGTCGTGTGGTGCTTCAGCTATGAATCGGCACAGGCGGCTCCTGATGTCAAAGCTGCTTAGCTGGAGATGAAAGGTAAGGGCGTCAGGGTCATCCAACTAGTACTGAGTCTCTTGGAAACAGGCTCAAGCTGCCCTATTCTAGGTCTCTGTGATGCCACAGGGCCTATGGCTCTGGGCAGGGTTAAAAGAACCTTGCTTCCCCCCTCCCCCAGCTTTTTTCCCTTAGCATTTATTTGGGGTCACAAGTGCTCACATGTCAGACAGTGCATATGGAAATCAGATAAAACTTAGAGTCATTTCCTCCTCCTTCCACACGGGTTCCAGAGACTAAACTTGGGTCATCAGCTTGGCAGCAAGGGCCTTACCTGGTGAGCATCTCACTAGCCAGTGCTCTTCCCTTCTTTTTAGACAGTGTTTGCTAGGTACTTTTTCTGCTTGGCTATAGGTGATGAGAGCCTGTCTGCATGCAGTAACTCTGGACAGGCTGGGGTCAGGGAACCCTCCCCCCATCATGAGACCAGAATAGGCCCAACAGACCCAGGTAACCAAGTTCCCACCTGCTGGTTTCTGTTGAATTTCTAAGCAAACAGACCAGAGAGGAAGAGGAGGATGGAATGAGGTCGCTATCCAGAGTTCAGAGCTTAATCCAGGTCAAACCAGCCCTGTCTTATGCCCGCCATCTCTTGCCATGTGTCCAGCTTACCAGTCTGGCAGCAATATTCCTCCCAGCTGAAGCCAGGACTCTAAGCAGTTTCATGGCAGCAGCACAAGGCACTTTATATAGACTGGGAGTAGGCCCCACCCCTATAGGGGACCAACTGGTAGGGAGGAACTCTTGAACTATGGTCTCCATCAGCCGAGGACACTCCAAGACCTGCAGGAGATAGGGAAAGAGAGGATCAAGAAAAGGTCCATGGCTTATGCCTATAATCTCAGTACTTGGGAAGCTGAAGAAGGATTTCCACAAGTTTCAGGCCAGCCTAAGTAATACAGTGAGCTCTAGACCAGCTTGAGTCATAATGAAATCCTATCTCAAAACAACAGCAGCAACAAAAACATCACTAACAAAAACCCATAAAATAAAACAAGAAGAGTCCATGGGACAGTTATTCATTGCCCTCCTTCCCTTCTCACCCTCACGGCTGACTCCAGGGAATGCCGGGCCAGGCGGATAAGCACAGCCAGGATGTCAAGGACCACAGAGGGTCCTGGGCAGGTCACCTCCAGTACATAGCGGAGCCGAGGCAGCAGGTTGGTAGCCAGGAGCCCCTAGGACTCAGAAAGAAACCCATTGCCACATATGGGGGACACCCAGGTCTTGGTGACCTGTCCTGCTCATCAAACCTGCCCTGCAGGTCAAGGATGGGAATGCAGAGTGCCCTCTACCTTGATGATGTCGTGTCTGGCCAGGTCAGGTGGAGGGCGGCTTCCTTCCTCAGGGGTCTTTCTCTTCACCTTTTCTGTCGTGAGTTCTTCATCCTCATCTTCATCCTCTTTTTCGTCCTGGCTGGGCATCAGAGGGAACACCGAAGATCCATGATACCAAGAGAAGGTGCTGTCAAGGAGCTCCTGCCAGAGGATGGGGGTAGAGGTGGGAAGGGACAGAAAGGAAGAAATGGTTCTAGGACAGAGTAAAATTATCCCTCCCCAACACACAGCAGCAATGGGGAGGCAAGGCTCCTGGGCTTGTGGCCTTTGGAAGTGGCTGACACCTGCCACCCTATTCTCCATTCTGCCTACAAAGCCTTGGCAAAGGGCATGCCCAGAACGCAGAGCAGAGCCCTGTAGCCTCTGAACACATTCCTATCCCTGACATACCTCATCTCCAGGAGCAACTAGCAGAGCACGAAGAGCCCGGACAGCTGCTGCGATGACACTGTCCACCCTGTCATCCAGGGAGAAGCGCAGCAGGAAGAGGAAACCGGCATCCAAGAGGAGGCGCAAGACACTGCCCACCAGGCGGTCCCCAAACTCACCAGCCTGGGCCTTGGGTACAGGAGGATTACACTTTGTTGAAGATGCAGCACTTGGATAGAACCTTTGCTGAACTGTCACCTGCATTTGCCCCATTCCTAGTCTAACCCACAGTAAGGAGGAAAAGTCTAAGATCAAGGGATGAGGGATGGGGTATGGCTAGGTAGGACCAGGCCAGCAGTCCACTTACCCTACCGACGATCTGGGACAACACGTGCAATGCTAGTGTTCTCTGCTGCGACACCTGGCTACGGGTCAGGTGGAACAGCTCCTGTAGAGAGTACCCTGCTCTCTGGTGCAGGGACAAAGAGTCAGAAGGAATCAAGACACAGGAAAGTGTCTTCTAAATACCCAGGAAGGTATCGAGGGAGAGGCAAGAGAAACAAGTGACACCTAGTCACTGCTCTTGTTGGAACCTAATGCACACAGAGCAATGGTGCCATAAAGCAAACAGGGATACAGTAGCTGATGGCAGCGCAGGAGGGAGGGAATGGCCGGAGGGAAAGCATGCAAAGCCTGGCTGTTGAGTTACAGAACAGAGTAAAGTGCCAGTAGAAGCAGCATCTTGACTCTAAGGAACTGAGTGACAGCAAGGCCATGAGCTGGGGCAGGACACAGAGGAGGCCAAAGGCAACTGATCAGGGCTCCTATTTCTGCACGGTTGCTAACCATTTGCCAAGACTCCCGGTTTTCCTTGGATCGCATGCCTTACCTCTGCCTCTTCTCCATGGTGGTGCAGGCCCAGATGCGTGGGCAGATCCACGTCAGGCGCCAGGAGCTCGCCCTGAAGGCTGAATCGAGCCTGCATTCTCTAAGACAAAGAAAAGGACTGTGCTGGGTGCCGCAGCAGCTCCTCACACTCAGTCACCTTTAACCTCAGGCCTCTTAAGATTAGCTCTGGGCTCTACCTCTGACTGGAAATGAGGCTCGTGTGGCCTATAGGGCCAGGCAGGGTGACAGGAGGGAAGCTGAGAGCAAATAAGAGCTATTTCTCAGGCCCCAGTTCTGCGCAGAAGAGCAGCAACCCCATCCCACCTGTGCCCCTCACCTCCTGTGTCTGCTGCCGCCGGAGCGGGGGCAGGTCCTGGGTCCAGTGGAGCTTCTCCAGCTCCACAGTGTCCATATGTAGCCACTCTTTGTTGGGGGTCATGGGCAGTTTCAGCGCTAGGGAGGCAGAAGCATAGTGTTCCTCAAGGGGCTCAGCCCACTGGCAGAAAGCAGATGCCTCAGGCCTTCTGCACTGAGTCTAGCAGCTCCTACCCTCAGCTATGGCTAACTGGTATGGCTTGGGGCCTGGCACCCCTGGCAACTGGATGAATGTTTCAACTATAGCAGACATAGCTGGTCCTGGCTCCAGCCCCATGCTGACTCCAAAGACTTGCCCGAAGGAGAAGAGAAGAAAACGAAGATGTGACAGAGAAGGAAGATGGGCACCACGTGCCAAGGGAAACACAGCAGTCCACTCTCTGGTACAACCCTCTAAAGGAGCAAGGGAATGGAGACAGGGGAGGCAGCTATGCTGCTCCAGTGGGAAGGGCATGGAACACCTCTACCGTCTCCTCCTGTGTCCTCACCCCACCCCACCCCCACTCAACCTGCCTGGCTGGCCCAGCAGTCCCTCAGGAGCAGGAGGTTCCGGGCTATCATAATTCAATTTCCTCTTTTGTTAATCCCTAATAGAATAATCTTGTTTCTGGGTGATGAGTGCTTCCACTGGCCTCTGTTTCTGGTCTGGCATGTCCAGAGTTCTGCACTGGACACGTCTCCCCGTCTCCCCTTCCCAGCCCTCCCATCCCCCCAAAACACTGACAGAAAGGGGATGAAGCAAGAGCAACAGCAGGAAGATGGTCTGTCTTGGGAGGGAGCCTCAATCACACCTTGCTGCCCCTTCAGGTGGGGGGAGAAGTAGGGGTAAGAGAAGCGTGTGCAGGAAGACATGCGCCAGCAAATGAGACCATCTGAGCCAATTTAAAGACACTAATGAAGATGAACACTCCCTGTCCAAGGGCAGGGAACAGCTCCCCATCAGCAGGCTAAGGACAAAGGACACTCTTTCCTACCATTTTCTTTTTAACATTTATTTAGTGTGTGTGTGTGTGTGTGTGTGTGTGTGAGAGAGGGTGTGTGTGTGTGTGTGTGTGTGTAAGTTGTTTTTTTCTTTCACTATGTAGGTTCCAGGGATCTGACTCAGGTTGTTAGCTTGGTAGCAAGCACACTTCCCTTTTGTAGCCTTGGCTGTCCTGGAGCTTGATATGCAGACATATGGCCTCAAACCCACAGAGATCTGCCTAACTCCGCCTCTCAAGGATGTTAGAATTAAATGCATGCGCCACCACACCGGGCTATTTTTTTCCTTTCTGAGGAAATGATGGTGCCTGTCCTCCATACCTGGGGTTCTTGGCTGTAGCTCGTCCTCCAGCTTGTCCTCTACCATGCCTTCCACTTTGTCCCTCAGCCCAGACTCTCCGGTACAAGTTGACACGATAGGCTCTTCTTTAGTGACAGGAACTGAGGGTCTTTCTGGGCTCTGCTCCCTGGTGGCCTTTGTTCCTGTTTGCTCCTGGGTGTGGCTATGAGATCTCAAGAAGGCAACCAAGCTGGGGTCTAGGGTAAAGGTGGAGAGTAGGAAACTAAGGTAGGTCCCAAGACTCTTCCTCATGTGACACCTGCTGGAAGATTCCCACTTCTGGGTGCTAAGGTCAGGACAAACTACTTCCCAGTCCTGGCTCAGGCCCCCTGCACTCTCCTATGGCTCCTTAATGACCCTGCCAGCCCACACTATCCCCATGGCCTCTGCCCTCTGAAGTCCTTTGGCCCAGGTTCCTATGCTGGAACCTCTGCTTGCCACCAGGTCAGATGTCTGAGAAACAAGTGACTGTTGACCAGAGCCCAAAGGACAGCACTTAGCCAAGCAACTTCTTTCTTTTCTCTCAGTCTGTACATACATTTGCTAAAACTTGAATATACAGTACATAAGTGCTCCGCATACAATGTGGAACAAGACTGAGAAGAAACGTGTGGCACAGCACACTCCTGCATGTGTCACTGTAGCTAACGAGAGGGTAGAGGACAGAGGGCAGAGCACCACCTCTGTGACAAAGCATGGTGTGAACTACACCAGGAACCACGGTAGTACACAATGGAGCAGGGGTGGCTAGTCCAGTCAGAAGCACAAATGAAATCTGCAGCACTATACGTGTAAGGCATTTTGCCTGGCATGTGCAAGGCTCTGGGTTTCAACTGGAGCACTCCTCCCATAATTCTATATTCCACACCAGTTACGTGACTTGTGGAGAATTTCTCTTAAATTCCTGAGTCTCTCTCTCTCTCTCTTTTTTTTTTTTTTTTGAGGATTTGTTTTAGGTTACTACTTGGGGTACAGGGAGGTAGTAAGTGTACATGTGGAGGTCTAAGTATGACTTAGTGGAATCAGTTTTCTCCCACTCTTACATGGTTAAAGGCTTGCTCAGTTACCCACTGAGCTATGTCATCAACTTCAAGTTTTATTTTTGAGGAAGAGTCTCAGAGCCAGGCTGGCCTCAAACTCAGAGCCAGCCTGGCCTCAAACTAGCCATGTAGCTGAGCACGAACTCTGGTTTGATTCTACTTTCAAGTGCTGGGATTAAAGGCATCAACCACCCCAAGTAGCAGAGCCCGCTTTGTTTGTTTGTTCACTCATTTGTAAATTGAACTTAATACCGTATTTCTCCCAGGAGTAGAAGAATAGTTTAAGGACAAAGAAATGCATGGAAGTATCCATAGATAGCTCATCGATCTCCAATGCCAGTAAGTAAATAAATACTCAAAATATGTCTGCCCTGTACTGTACAGGCTTACTGCTCACTGCTTCCCTCAACTCCTTTAGGGGCTAGAAGTATGGTTCAGTGGTAGGGCACTTGCCTACAATATGTGAGGACCGGAGTTCAATCCCAGCAACCAAAACAGTAAAACACACATACACAGGCCTTCGCCAACAAGTGGCAGCCCCTGCTTAGCTTGGCCCTAGCAGGAAGACCTAACATTCATACCAAGTTGAGCCAGTAACTGCTGCTGCTCCTTCAGGATCTCCTCAGGATTCATGGCTTGAAGTCTTGCTACATTCTCTTCATGGATTGTTTGGACCTCCTGCTCAGCTGCCTGGCTCCTGAGCCCCTTTCCTGTGACTAGATTTGGTCTGTGAAAGCCATGGGTCCTCCCAGGAAGCTGGTCACTTCTGTCCCTAGAGAAGGGTGTCTCACAGGGCACAGCACCTGAAAAAAGTGAACAATCAGTCTTACTGCTCTGCCTCCTGGCTCTACCTACACCCCCCTGGCCTCTTCAATATGGCAACTAGCCCCAGGGACCAGCAATAGCCCCGGGGCTTCCCTGGACACAGAATGGAAACCACACGGCATTTCAGGCATTCTGGCGAGGCAAGATGGCCACTTCTCATTCATTTCTCTCTTAAGACTTATATGGGAGAGCTGGAGAGAGAGGGCTCAGTAGATAAGAACACCTGTTCTTCTTGCAGAGGACTGGGTTCTTGTCCGAGCACCCACATAGTGACTTACAGCCCTCTATAATTCTGAGAGCACTAGTCACACATGCAAACAAAACACTCCTAAGTATATACCAAGTAAATCTCAACAAATAAACAAACAACAACAAAAACCACTTACACAGGAAAACTTCCCTCTGAATTATCTATTAGATCCTGACAGATATCTACCACCAGGGGTTTACCTCATGCTGTTCCACCAGTAATTTACAATTCACATAATTCTGAAAACTTGGCCAATATCTTGTTTGTTTTTCTGAGACAAGGTTTCTTTGTGTAGCCCTGGGTGAACTATAACTAGCTCTGTAGACCAGGCTGGCCTCAATCTCATAGAGATCCATCTGCCTCTGCCTCCCCAGTTTAGGGATTAAAGGCGTATGCTACCACTGTCCAACTAGCTTAAGATCTTCACACTCTCTACCGGACATTTCTAACTTCCCCTCAGTCCCCTCTTCTTTTTTTTTTTTTTTTTTTTTTGGTTTTTCGAGACAGGGTTTCTCTGTGTAGCCCTGGCTGTCCTGGAACTCACTCTGTAGACCAGGCTGGCCTCGAACTCAGAAATCCGCCTGCCTCTGCCTCCCAAGTGCTGGGATTAAAGGCGTGCGCCACCACCGCCCGGCTCAGTCCCCTCTTCTTTCAATAAAAAGTCTTGCTATAAAGCCCAGGCTGCCCTGGCCCCTGTGGTCCTCTTGCCTCAGCCTCCCATGAACATCAGATGAAAAGGACTTCCAGGAAAAGTGTCATGCAGACCTACATGACTAGAGCAGAACCAAGAAGACAAATATAACACAAAAGCCTGGATTTGGCACCAGCCACAAACATAATATAAAATGATACGTAATACCTTGGGTTTTTAAATTTTTATTTTAATTATGTGTATATATGTAGGTCTGTGTGAGTTTGTCATGTACACATATATGGGTTGTGTATGGGCATGCCAAGTGCACATATGTCCCATTGCTCATGAAAGCATGAGGCATCGACTCCCCTGGAGTTGGAATTACAAGTAGCTGTAAGTACCTGACACAGGAGCTAGCAATCAACTTAGGGTCCTCTGTAAGAGCAGTCCTTACTCTTCACCACTGAGCCATCTCTCCAGCCCCAGTAACTTGGTTGTTAATACTGTAGCTGTAGTTTTCAAGAATTAGAGGCAGAATTAATTACTTTACCCTCCCTTAGTAGTTTCAATCTGAAATTGATTAAAGTATGCTTGGGGGAGGCAGAGAGATGGCTCAGGAGTTAAGAGCACTTGCTGCTCTTACAGAAGTCCAAGGTTCAGTTCTAAGCACCTATATGGTGACTCATATCCATCCAAACGTCATTTCCAGGGAATCCAATGTCCCTTTCTGATCTCAGAGTGCCAAGCATGCACAGGATGGCATAGATATGGATAGGCAAAACACAAGCACTCATACAATTAAATAAGTCCAAACATAATTTTTATATTTATTAGTATTCTGGGTTTCATTCTTTCTTCCTTTCTCTCTCTCTCTCCCTCTCTCTCTCCTTCCCTCCCTCTTTCTTTCTTTCTTTCTTTCTTTCTTTCTTTCTTTCTTTCTTTCTTTCTTTCCTTCTTTCCTTCTTTCCTTCTTTCCTTCTTTCTTTCTTTCTCTTTAGTTTTTTTGTTTTGTTTTTGAGACAGGACTTCTCTGTGTAGCCCTGGCTGTCCTGGAACACACTCTGTATGTAGACCAGGTTGGCCTCCAACCATCAGAAATTGTCCTGCCTCTGCCTCCCAAGTGCTGGGATTAAAGGCGTGCACCATCACTGCCTGGCAAGCAAAAAGTTTTTAAAGAAAGAAAAAAATAAATAAATATACATTGAGAGGCTAGGGACATAGCTCTGTTACTGGCATGCATATCTTTGCTAGGACACACGAAGCTCTGGGTTTGATCCCATAACCATGTGACCTGGCACAGTGGCACATGTCTGTATTTCCAGCAGTCCAGAGGTGGAAACAGGAGAATCACAATTTTTTCTTTTTCTTTTTCTTTTTTTTGGTTTTTCGAGACAGGGTTTCTCTGTGTAGCCCTGTCCTGGAATTCACTCTGTAGACCAGGCTGGCCTTGAACTCAGAAATCCGCCTGCCTCTGCCTCCCAAGTGCTGGGATTAAAGGCGTGCACCACCACCGCACGGCTGAGAATCACAATTTTAAAATCATCCTTCATTACACAGTGAGTTCGAGGCCAGACTGGCATACATTAATCTTGACTTTGTCCACTCTATCCACCACCAAAAAGAGAATGCAGTTATAAGAGTCCACATGACAAAGCACCATCATCTTCAGTCTGTCAGCACTCACCCTCTGGTGCATCTAGGCTGGGGACAACTTGCTCAGCTGATGACACCCGGTTTTCTGACACCCTCCTTGCTGCAATCTCTTGGGCAAAGATGCTCCTTTTACCAGATGCTGCTGGTTTCACCTATAGGACAAAGAGAAAAACCAAGTTACTAATATTAATTATCTGCTCCTCCTTAGCTCCATAAACCAAGGCTCTGGGACAAAGAGAAAAGTTTCTCAGAGAAAGTAGGACTTCTGGGATATGGTGGTACCCAGCTAAAATCAGCACTCTGGAGGTGCGGGCAGAAACAAGAGGAGTTCAAGACACCCTTTGCTACACAGCAAGTCTGAAGCCAGCAATGAGAAATGAGACCTTGTTAAAAAAAAAAAAAGAAAAAAAGAAAAGAAAAAAAGAAAAACAAAAAACAAAACAAAACAGTAATATGGCCAAGTTGGTAAGAGCACTTTAATGCCGGGCAGTGGTGGTGCATGCCTTTAATCCCAGCACTTGAGAGGCAGAGGCAGGAGGATCTCTGTGTTCGAGGCCAGCCTGGTCTACAGGGTGAGCTCCAGAACAGCCAGGGCTACACAGAGAGACCTTGTCTCACAAAATAAAAGCCATAAGCCATCTACTCCAACATCCAAAGCTGTGAACAACAAAGATAAGCTATTTTAAAGAAGGTAGAAGGCAGGGACTGACACCTGAGGTGGTTCCCCGACCTCCAGACCTCACATATACAAACTTGTGCACACACATCACACACACACACACACACAGACACACACACACACACACACAAAGAAGAAAGTAGGACTTGAACTGTGGACTGTGGGTAGAACCCAGGGTACATTACTTGCCCAGGATTGGGAAGCACTGGATTCAATTCCCAGCAACACAAAAGAAACAAAAAAATAAAAAATTCTATCACTTGGGAAGGCTGAGGCAAAAAAGACACTTCTGTGAGTATGAGGCCTGCCTTCTACTGAGACAATTTCAAAAATAAAGTGTGTGTGTGGTAGTGGGGGTGAAGACAGATGGTTCAGTGGTTAAGAGCATTTGCTTTGCTGTTCCTGCAGAGAACCTGAGTTCAATTCCTAGTTCCCACGAAGTGGCTCACAACCATTCATTAACTTTAGTCCCAGGGAATCAGAAAGCCTCTTGAGATCTCCATGGGCACACATACATGCAGGTGAAACACTTTTACAGATAATATATCTAAAGAGAGGTCTGGAGATGGCTCAGTGGTCAGGAGCACTTGCTATTCTTCCAGAGGGTCTAAATTCAATCCGCAGCACTCTCATCAGGCAGCTTGAGCACCTGTATCTCAAGCGCCAAGGGGACTCTACCTTTCTGGCCTGGGTGGGCACCAGCATCCACGTGCACATACCCAGACATAGATACATGGTTTTCTTTAAAATAAAATAAAATAAAATAAAATAAAATAAAATAAAAGGACGTGGTTATCATTGCCCAGAGCAACTTCCTAGGGAAGATGTGCTCTGAGAACCACTCATTCCCTAAGCACCACCTGTGCTGCATGTTTTATGGCAACTTGACACAAGTTAGAGTCGACTGAAAGGAGATCCAGCTCTAAGGCATTTTCCTAGTTAGTGATTGATGGGGAGGGCCCAGCCCATTGTGAGTGGTGCCATCCTGAGCTGGGGGTCCTGGGTTCTGTAAGCAAGCAGGCTGAGTAAGCCATGAGGAGCAAGTCAGTAAGCAGCACCCATCCATGTCCTCTGCATCAGCTCCTGCCTCCAGGTTCCTGCCCTGCTTGGGTTTAAATCCTGATGAAACTATAATTGAAATAAAGCCTTTCATCCCCAACTTGCTTCTGGTCATGGTGTTTTGGTCCAGCAATAGAAAGCCTGAGACTCCACCTAAGGGAACTCCGGCTTACCTGTCTCTCCTGAGAGCGATGGAACACAGGGGGGAAAGCAACACCACTGGGCACAGGCAAAGTCACAGAAACTGAACTTGTATCTCGTTCCTGTGGCAACAAAACACAAAGTAATGAAGATGCACAGGCTTCTCCAGACTGAACCCTATTCCAGTGGCTTTCATGACCCTCATTCCAGGGGTTCATGAACCCAGGTTGGATCTAGTCTAGGTGGTTCTAACAGAGGCCCAACCTGACTGCAGAGTGTTAAAAGTCTGCCTTTCTGCAATACCCTCCACTCATAAACCCTGTTCTCCCCCAAATGGGATGCCTTCCCCCACCCAGCTGGGCTGACACGTACAACAATCTTAGACAGGACAGCCGTGATGTGCTCATCATGCCGATTCAGCCTCTCTTCAGGGTCTTCATCGTGAGGCAGGGGACGACCAGGGCTCGGTCTAGCTCTTTTGGCAGGAGCGGGAAGCAGAGCTGGGGGCAAATCTGGGAGATCTGAAAGAAAGTGAATGCAGATATTGAGTATGTTCACACTTTCCTAAGGAAATATCAGGATTGGGGGCAGAAACAAAGAACAAAAGACGACGGCTGCTCTGGGCCCTAGCTTAAGCTGTGTCTTCTTGGGTATGATATTTAACTTCTCTGAACCTCAGTTTCTTCATCTGTATAATGAAGCTGCAGAGCTGGCTTGCACATCTGTCTGGTACCCTAGTATTTACAAGAAGATCATCCCAAGTTCAAAGTCAACTTGTGCTCAATAGTGAGTTCCAAACAAGCTAGAGTCACAGAGTGAGACTCTTTCTCCCTCTTCCCCCCACCCCCACACGAATGAAAGCAATAAAAATAAAGCAAAATTTCAGCAACAGAGATTACAGTCGGAGCAGAATTCAGCCACCTCAGGATAAATGCAGGGTCCCTGAGGCTGACCCTCTCCTCATGCCCATGCCCACAGGCACTCACTGTCCAGCATCACCACATCCCGATGGTCCTGCAGTGGAGGCTGGTCTGGATGAGCACCATCACGCCTCCTACTCCCTCTCACCAGCTGTACTGCTGGAGCGGCACCAGCCTCAAGGAACTGACTCTGGAAGCGCAGGAGGTCCACCTCAGACTCTCCAGGTTTCGGTCTGGACAGCATCATGACCCTGGAACTGTGGCCTGTGTGTGATTCCTTCTAGTACTGCTTTGTTGGTGAGGAGAATCTCTCTCATTCACTCCTAAAAGCCACAAAACAACAGCCTTTATAACTGAACACTGGTTGTCTTTACCTTTTCCATGGGTTGATGTGAGCTCACTCCTCATTGGCATTTCCTTGTCCATCAGCCCTCTCTGACCATCAACCTAGTAAGCTTATTTATAGCTAAGGCAAGGGTGGCTGGCTACACATGCCTATAACCCCAGCACTTGGGGGTGAAGGCAAGAGGGTGTAAGAGGTCCACATTATCCTTGGGTATACAGTAAGTTTAAAAGTTAGCCTGAGATACATGAAACTCTGTGTCAAGAAACAAACAGGAGTGGGGCATGGTGGCACACAAATTTAATCTCAGCACTTGGGAGACAAAGGCAGGTGGATCTCTGTGAGTTCAAGACCAGCCTGGTTTACCTAGTGAATTCCAGGACAGCCAAGGCTACATGGTAAGACCCTGTCTCAGGAAAACACAATACAAAACAAAGTAACAACCAAAAAGTAAGAATTGTCAGTTTAGGCTGTTTAAGCAAGGAGAGACAAGGCAGATAGATCACAATAGTAACAGTGACAATCATGTATTTCCTTCTTTCCCAGTCCTATGCAGGATCAGATAAAATAACTATATTTACTAGGCCAGTATAGAAAACACTCCTAACACAAGGCCTAAAGTGGGGAGAAATGTTAAAATAATCACGAGTGTGTAACTTAAGAAATAGTACAGGGATAGTCAGTTGTGATTGGCTATGCCTGTAACCCTAGCGCTCAGGAGGTTAAAGGATTGAGAGCCCCAAGATAGTTTGTGCTATGATATAGCAAGACCTTCTCCCCCCTCAAAAAAAATAAATAAATAAAAAACAAAGTTACCACTAAAAAGCTTTTTGAGAGTTTACTTTGGGCAGAGGTGTGTAGAAAAGGCTATAAATATTCAGGGTTATAATCAGCACACAGGTAGCTGAGGCAGAACAGCTGAATTCAAAGCCAACCCCCAAGGCTACATAGTTAGCTCCAAGTATAGGAGGTGTGTGTGTGTGTGTGTGTGTGTGTACACGCACACAAGTTTGGGAGGTCAAGTGTAGGTCAGTGGCAGAGTACTTGCCTAGAATGTGTAAGACCTTGGTTTCTGTTGGGACCTAGGTAAAATATTAAGGCCTAGGTAACTGTTACCTGGATAACCTGGCATTATAAGGAAAGTTTCTCATATGTTTCTGCTGTTGCTAGAAACTTTCTAATGTCAAGATTGATTACATATTCTGTTATGTTATGTGCCTTTGGAAACCAATCATGACAGAAGTCATTAGAACTATTTTGTATAGTTACACAATAAGCTTGAACATGAACCAACCACCCAACAGCATTTCCTGCACTATATTAAGCTTTTATGGTATAAGCTGCCCCTGGAATGGACCCCAACATAAAAGAGACACTTGCACCAATATAAGAAACTATTTGGAATAATACTTCCATCTTGAGTAGAGGTCAAGCAAAGTTTAAGTTTCCAAGATCTCCCTGGGAATTGACATCCTACTTGGCAAAAAGATTTACTTGGGTAATTGACATCCTAACTGTCAAGTTAAGATACATGAATGTTAGACAAGTCCCATCCCAGTAGACAAGACATGAATATTAGATAAGGCAAGTCCCCTGACACAGGTGAATATCCCAACCAATAGGAACATTATAAGTGTACAACAAAGACACGTTTCCAAGGAAATCCTCCATTCCCTAACTGACTGGTAAAATAACTTGGGACAGATGTTTGTGGATTTTGGACTTAAAAAACCCTTTAGGATCTTAACTCAGGCATATGGTCCAATTCCCAAATCTGGACCATGGCCCTGGTCGACCAGTCCTGGGGCACATGCTCAATAAACTATCCCTGTCTGACTGAGATCAGTGTTTGTGGCGATTCCTGAACCCCAACAGTTTCATTGTCCAGTAAACACACACACAAACCCGGGGCCGTTATGGGTTGTTAAACAGCAGTGTTAGAAATCTAACTCAGAAATCGAATACTAGCTCCACTACTTACTAGTGTAAAATTAGGCAAATTATTTAAGCTATTCCAAATTCAGTTTCAAGACTGTAAAATGCACAAGGCTGAGACATCCTAATCCAAGCATTTGGGCAGTGGAGGTAGGAGGATAAGGCGGTTCAATTCAACCTGGAATCCAGGAAACCTTTCAAAACAACAGCAAAATATAATTACATGCAGCGTGCCTGCCACTGTACCTATTATATAAATAAACTTCAGTAGATGAAAACAGCAAGTCCATGCTACATCAAGAAGCAAATGTATTCCCCCACAAACTCCAGGGGGGAATTTGTCTAAAATCGTCTAGTGCTAAAAGTTACACCTTGAATTATAATAAGGATAATTCCTACAGATTAACTCTAAAGCAAAGGAAAACTAACAACGGATTTACTGGGTTTTGGAATAGCCTCTTACATCGCAGCCTATCGGCCACACGACCTGTCCGGAGACTGCGCCTAAGGCTCTAGTTAAGCATCCTGGATCGCCCGCGTTTGCAACCAAGAGACAGCTCCTGAGGATTGAAATGAAGGGTTGTACCCGAGGTCTATATAACACAAGCTACTTCTTTGCAAATACTCCCAAGCAGGTTATGCCAAAGTAACCAGACATCTTGCTTCTGGGTTCTCCACCTGAGTAACTTGATCGGGTCCCTGCAAACAGCGATCTACTCGAACAACACCAGTCTGGGCGCCGCCATCTTGGCCGTACGGAGTGGCACTTCCGTCGCCGCTAGAGTTCAGCTTCCGCCGAGCAGCCCCGCCTGCCGCGCTTTGGCTCGCCGTGGAGCTCGAGGGCTCTCTGTTCAGCGTTGCATCTCTGAGCCCCAAGCAGCGAAGTCTGCGGCATCTAATTATCACATAGACGCTTGAAATCCACGCGTTTGGTGTACTGCAGACCCAGGCTTTACCACATTCACTGCATGGTACAGGCAAAAACTGACAGAAACGCCCTTCTGCACTCACCATCCTGTATTCCTTAACTGCATCCTGTATTCCGGCTCCACTGCCCACACTCTGCATACAAAAGTCTGCACACAAGCCAATGCGACCTCCCCAGTGTGCTTTTAGATGAACGAGAAGGCAACTGCAAGAGGGGGACTCAAAAAAGCAACTCTCCCAGAGAGCATTGTAAGAATTGGGTGTTTGTGAGAAGACTAAAGAACCTGGTTGTCATCGAGGTTACCGGCTTCCTAAGCATCTTGCCTTTGTTCATACCAGTCTCCCTTATTGGAAATTCAAACCCCTATCCCTGCCGTCCCCTCCTACGAAGTTTTTCCCCTTTAAGGTCTAGTCAGAGTCAACTTTGATAAAAACCTTTACCAATCAGTTCTGCCCCCTGAACTTCTGAACTTGGATGGTCTGAAATCTAAGCACTTGCACTAACCGCTTATGGAGCAGACTTCTGCAATTACTAGTTACCTTTTCACAAGAGAAGTTTTTTCAGCCTTGTGATATGGAAGGCTTGCAGAAGTCCAACACTTGGGAGACTGATATTGGAAGATGACAGATTCAATGTCTACCTGGGCTACACAATGAGACCTTGGTTTTTTTTTTTTTGTTTCATTTTGTTTTTCAGTTTTTCGAGACAGGGGTTCTTTGTGCAGCCCTGGCTGTCCTGGAATTCACTCTGTAGACGAGGCTGACGTCAAATTCAGTCTCCTGAGTGCTGGGATTAAAGGCGTGTGCCACCATTTATGGGCAAAACTCTATTTTTAATTTTCATATTTATTTCCTTTTAAATATACTCGTTTTGCCTGCATGTCTATTTGTGCATTATGTGTATGCCTGATGCCCTGAGAAGCAAGATGAGGGAGTCAGAGCCCTAGGAACTGGGGTTACAGATGGTTGTGATCCACCACGTGGGTGCTGAGAATTGAACCCAGGTCCTCTGAAAGAACAACAGGTGCTCATTTAAAAAATGTTTTTATATGTATTTATTAAGTGTCTGTTTTGCTTGCATGTATGTATTTGTGCCACATGCATGCATGCCTGGAGCCAAAGGAATTAAAAAAAAGATGTCAAGACAGTATTGGATTTCCTAGAACTTCAGTTATAGACAGCTGTGAGCTACTGTGTGGGTGCTAAAAGCCAAACACTGGTCCTTTGAAAGAGCAACAAGTGCTCTCAACTGCTGAGACATCACTTGGGAGGCAGAGGCAGGTGGATTTCTGAGTCCAGGCCAGCCTGGTCTACAGAGTGAGTTCCAGGACAGCCAGGGCTATACAGAGAAACCCTGTCTTGAAAAAACAAAAACAAAACAAAAAAACTGCTGAGACATCTCTGCAGCCCAGTGTCCTGTTTTGACTAAATAAAAAGTTTTGTGCATTAGAATGGACTGGATAGACTGCTTTCCCTGTGAGTGTGGGTCCTTGTCTTTTGCCTCCATAATGTTCAGCAATCAATGTATTGCTGTGCACATACTTATCCTTAGTAAATCATAGTTTGAGGCCAGCCTAGGACAGTCAATGTTAAGTTAGAGGTTTAAAACTTTAGCAGGCGTCGGGCAGTGATGGTGCTTTAATCCCAGCACTTGGGAGGCAGAGGTAGACAGATTTCTGAGTTCGAGGCCAGCCTGGTCTACAGAGTGAGTTCGAGGACAGAGTGAGTTCTCAAAAACAATTCACTTCACCTGACCTTCCTTCCCCCTTCTCAGCTGTTCCCTTTCTCTTCCCAAATAGTCCCCCTTCTTAAAAACAAAAAAGCAAAACAAACAAACCAAAAAAAAAAACCAACCAACCAACCAACCAACCAAACAAACAAACAAAACTTTAGCAGGCATCAGAATTTACTGGTAGGACTTGTTACAACACATTAATGACAGTGGGCATGGTGATATACACCAGTAATCCCAGCACTGGGAATGCAGAGGCAAGAGGATTGCTGCAGTTCAAGGCTAGTCCAGGCTACTTAATGAAACCAAATCTCAATCTCAAAATCTCTCTCTCTCTGTCTCTCTCTCCCTCTCCCTCTCCCTCTCCCTCTCCCTCTCCCTCTCCCTCTGTCTCTCCCTCTGTCTCTCCCTCTCTGTCTCTCTGTCTCTCTCTCTGTCTCTCTCTCTCTCTCTCTCCTGTCTCTCACTCTCTTTCACACACGCACGCACGCACATGCATGTGTGTGTGGGCTAATGGTCCAGAATGGAATCAAATCTATGTAATCCCTCACAGACTCGCCAGGCCGCAGTCACATCTGTAAACTTCAGCTATTAGGGATTAGGCAGCCTTTAGATTTCAAACAGTAGTAGACTAGACCTACTAAGAAGTTCTGGAAATGGGGGAAAGAGCTGGTACAAAGCAGCAGATGAAAGATAGGAGGAAACCACAACTCAGAAAGGATGGTTCTTGTTGGACAACTACATCCCAGCCTGTTTTGTTTTTGAAACTTCACAAGGTCAAATGTAGCTCAGGCTGGCCTTGATTTTGCTGTGCAATTAGGGATGACCTTGAAATTTCAGATCCTCCTGCCTCTACCCTCCCTTCCACCCCCGGCGTGTTGGGAGCTACCACACCCGGTCTTTACTGACAGATCTTAGCATCACTAAAGAAAACTATTGCACACAATTTCCCTCTTCATGTGATGGCTTAGAAATACAAATATCCAAGGATTCTTTTTTGTTTGTTTGCCTTTGCTTTTTCAGACTGTTTTTGCTTTTTTCTGTGTAGCCCTGACTGTTTTGGAGCTTACTCTGTGTAGACCAGGTTGGCTTCAAACTCACAGATATCTGCCTGCCTCTGTCTCCCAAGGGCTGGGATTAAAGGCATATGCCACCATGCCCTCCACATCTTGTCCAAAAAAATCAGAATACAGTCAAGCATTATGACCTAGAAAATACTAGTAATACAGGAACATGACCCAAGAATACAATTAGCTAAATCCAATTGTGTATAATTGTGCCAGTGGCCAGTTTCTTTTATTAACTGCATGTTTAGGAGAGGAAGGGAATCTTGTAGATTTAAAATTATTTAAAGGGCTACCTTAAGCTGAATATGCGGTCTTTATTGGTATATTCTTGTTGTTACTGCTTCATTAAGACAGGGCAGCCCAGGCTCCCTTGGAACTTACTATGTAGTTGAAATTCTTGGAAATTCCCTTACCTCCATGCTGGGATTATATCATAAGCCACTAAACCCACTGGCTTTTTGTTGGCTAAAGATTTATTATTATTTTAATGATATATCTTTGTGTCTATCTTTTGAAGGTATATGCATGTGAGGGTAGATGCCTGCAGAGGCCGGAGGTGTTAGCTAGCTGGAATCACAGGCGGCTGTGAAGCTGCCTGATGTGGGTGCTGGAACTTTCACTAAAGCTTCTTCTGGAAGAGCAGTGTGTGCTCTTAACCACTGAGTCAACTCTCCAGCCCTAGCCTAGGCTGGCTTCATGTAGACTATGTTCAAAGCATTTGCCCTGGCAAGACTCTTAAATTTCTTTAAAGCATTTTTTTTTCATTCATTCTCCCTAACTTCTTCCTTCTGTCCTTACAAGGAATTAAAATCATAAATCTCTGTCCTTTATTTATCTGGTGGCTGAAGGCAGGTGGCTTTTATTGTCTGTTTCTCATTGCCTTCCTCCTAAAACCTGGTCAGGGAACCAACCAGCCTCTGCACAGCAGGGGCTCCCAGCATCTCTGAGCTGAGGGTCTCTCTGGTGGCTGTGTTCCTTTGTTTTTTGTGGATTTTTTTGTTTTGTTTTTCTTTTTTTAAATTTTGTTTTTTGTTTTTTTTGAGACAGGGTTTCTCTGTGTAGCCCTGGCTGTCCTGGAACTCATGCTGTAGACCAGGCTAGCCTTGAACTCAGAAATCCACCTGCCTCTGTCTCCCAAGTACTGGGATTAAAGGTGTGTACCACCATTGCCCAGTGTTGTTTTTTCTTTTCTTTTTTGTTTTTTTGGTTTTTCAAGACAGTGTTTTTTCTATCTATCTATCTTTCTCTTTTTTTATTCCTTTGTTCTAGTTGCAAGACTTTCGAAGGAATCACAGCTCTGCTAGCTGAGAAACTACTTCTCCCCTCCATCTAGACTTACATCAATTGTGTGTGTGTTCCATCTAAGAATCTCTAAATAATTTTAAAGGTGAGTTCTCACTGAGCACATTGTGCACCATTCTGTAGGGGTAGTTTTGGCTATAAGTTTTGGCTCCCAATAGGCTGCCCAGGTAATTTTTAAATACCTTGGCTAGCTCAAATGCTGGGCAGTTCTAATACTCCCCAGGGCTAGCACACATCTCCCTCCTGAAATCCTGGCTTTACACCCTCTAATTCTATATTTTATCTTTGTTTCCCTGGCTCCTTTTGGGCGGCAGCTCCCTAGTCTTTGCTGCCCAAGACACTTCTGGGAAGCCCTTCCAGGGGCTGCATTTCTTCTCACCTGCATTTTGGATAATTTTCCTTCTACAGTTCTAAATCTGTTCCATCTCCCTCTAAATCAAGGCGATTCCCTTCTCCTCTCTCCCAGTTCCTCACCTGAGCAATTCTAAAGGTTCCGCCCCCCTCTCTCTGCCCAGCCATTGGCTCTTTATTGATCAATCAAAAACCTCTTGGGGATATGGACCTTCAGCGTTCGGACACAAAGATTCCCAATTAACTCAAAGCATTAGAACCAATCCCCAACAGTTTT